GTGAGGGGCATAGCCTTAGATTATAGGGGGATACGGATGGGTTGAATGGTGGCAAATGTAATTCAATCTGGATAAGGGCAAGGTAATATACTTGGGCAGGAAAAACTAGGCAAGGGATAAATACAAGATGAACAGTAGTACCCTGGGAAGCCCCATGGATCACAGGGACCTTGGAGTGCATGTCTACGAATCCCTTAAGGTATCAGGACAGGTGGATAATGTGTTTGAGAAAACATATGGTATACTTGCCTTTATCAGGCAAGGCATAGAGTTTAAGAGCAGGGAGGTTCTACTGGGACAGTATAAAACATTGGTTAGGCCACAGCTATGGTATTGTGTGCAGTTCTGGAATCCACATTATAGCAGTGATGTGATAGCACTGGAGAGGGTGCAGTGGAGATTTACCAGGATGTTGCCTGGGCTGGAGAGTTTCAGCTATGAAGAGAGATTGGACAGACTGGGGTTGTTTTCCTTAGAGCAGAGGAGGTGGACAGTTACATGATTGGGATGTATAAAATTCTGAGGGGCATAGATAGGATAGACAGGAAGAAACTCTTCCCCTTGATGGTGGGATCATAGATTTACTGTAAGGGGCAGAAGGTTTTGAGGTGAATCCTTTTCACCCAGAGGGGGTGGGAACCTGGAACTCTCTATCTGTAAGGGTCGGTAGAGGCAGAAACCCTCATAACATTTCAAAAGAACTGATAATAATGGAAATCTTGCCTTTAAACGTAGATAAATGCATTCCCATGTTCTCCCATGGTCTTGATGGAAAAATATTATGATAAATGTTTCTTCCTATTATTCACTGCACATGAAATGCAATTATTGCCCGTTTCTTTATTGAATGTAATCTCTGACAAACTATATTGATGGTGTGTCCATGCCTGACAATTTGTAACACTGAAATGACCTTGATGAACTCTCTGAAGAATTTCAAGTTGATATGCAGTTGGTATTATTAATATCTCATTGAAAATGAGCAAGTAAATGATGACAAGGAAATATCTAATGCTGTTTAAAGTACTGGTGTAATATGGGATCATTAGGTATATAGTCTGAGCATCCTTCCAGACAGTAGTTCTTTAACTGGGTACACTTTCCATCTTGTCTTTGTCCTTCTAGAATTTTTTGCAGTTTCCTTTCTTAGTAGGCTAATGTTTTCTGACTTTAGAAGTACTGACTTTAAGCCCTTGTATGAAGTTTAAATCTGCTTCACGTCCTGCACTTACTAGTATCTTCAACACTGCATCTCCAGCTATTTGGTACTTTCTGTGAGACTCAATCCCATTGAATTCTGGGCAGTATCTTGGCCTTTTCTTTCATATTCAGAAGAGTGACTAAGGACTTATGGTTAGTATTTATCTTGATTGTGAGCCCATTATATAGTTTGTAAATTTCTTTCATGCTCATGTGATTGCTAAAGCCTCTTTTTTTCAATAATGGCATACTGTTGTTCCATGCCAATAAATGATCCAAAAGCAGAGTAGGTCTACACTTTTCATCCCTCTGCACCTGAACAAGTACTGCCCCAATCCTGTTGAAGATATTATTTTAGTCAATAGGTGAAGATCATAGTGTGCTGGCAATTTCTGAGGAAATCAGGAGTTATAGAGTCATAGAGTCGTAGAGTCGTACAGCACAGGAACAGACCCTTCGTTTCAACTAGTCCATGCAGACCATGTTCCCAACTATAACTAGTCCCACCTGTCTGTATTTGGCTCATATCCTTCCAAACATTTTCTATTCATGTACTTATACAAATTTCTTTTAAATGTTGTAAGTGTACTTGCAGTCCTCTGGCAGTTCATTCCACACACCAACCAATTTGCGTTAAATAAAGTTGCCCCTGATGTACTTTTAAAATCTTTCTCCTGTCACCTTAAAAATATGCCCCTAGTTTGAACTCCCCTACCTTGGATAAAAGATCTTTGCTATTCACCTTATCTATGCCCCTCATGATTTTATAAACTTCTATGAGGTCACCCCTTAACCTCCTACACTCCAGTGAAAAGTGCCCCAGCCTATCCAGCCTCTCCTTACAACTCAAACCCTCCAGTCCCGGCAACATTCTGAACCCTCTGCAGTTTAAGAATATCCCTCCTATAACAGGGCGACCAGAACTTCACACAGTAGACTCCAGAAGACGCCTCACTAACATTCAATGTACAACCTCAACATAATGTCCCGACTCCTATACTGAAAGGTCTGAGCAATGAATGCAAGCATGTTAAATGCCTTCTTAACTATCCTGTCTACCCATGATGCAAATTTCAAAGAATTATGTATCTGAACACCTAGGTCTCTCTTTTCTACAACACTACCTGGGGCCCAACCTTTAATTGTATAAGTTCTGCCCTCGTTTGTTTTACCAAAATGCAATACCTCACATTTATCCAAATTAAACTTCATCTGCCACTCTTCAGTCCATTGATCCAATAGATCAAGATCTCTTTGTAACCTTACATAACCTTCTTCACTGTTGACTCTACTGCCAATTTTGATGTCATCCTCAAACTATGGTACTTTCTGCAAGAGCCTCTTATTTACAGCTTGGTTCACAAACACATTCTCTTCAGATCGGGGGCGGCACAGTGGCTTAGTGGTTAGCACTGCTGCCTCTCAGCGTTAGGGACCCAGGTTTGCTTCCAGGCTCGGGTGACTGTGGTGTTTGCACATTCTCCCAGTGTCTGCATGGGTTTCCTCCAGGTACTCTGGTTTCCTCTCACAGTCCAAAGATGTGCAGGTTAGGTGGATTGGCTATGCTAAGTTGCCCATAGTGTCCAGGATGTGCAGGCTAGGTGGGTTAGCCATGGGAAATGCAGGGTTACAGTAGGAGGGGTGGGTCTGGGTGGGATACTCTTTGGAGGGTCAGTGTGGACTCAATGGGCTGAATGGCTTGCTTCCACACCATAGGGATTCTATGATTCAATCTTATTAGGGTTCCTATTCCCGATGCAGACACTCGGGCCTAGCCACGTCCTGGAGTCTCGGGTAGCCTGCAAGTCTCGCATCAAATATTTTAAAACAGTGAACCAGCTTTCAGTGGAAGTTTACTAAAGCAGGAGGGAATCATGTAAAACCAAAGCAGGTTCAAGAGGTTAAGGCACTACAAGACCAGATACTGGGTGTCAAGTTGGAAGTACAAGGGCACACAGTAAACTTTGACACTGGGGCCAGAGCTGATTATCTGCTAAAAAAAAATTAAATTGCAGCCATCCTTCATAAAACTACAGTGACCTGAATGAATATCATTGAAGATTAAAGTCAACTCACAGCAAAGCTCAGGAAGACAGAACTTGGAATCTGTTTATGACATTCAGTTCACTCTACAGTATCGTGGGACACTTACACTGTAATAGCACCTATTTGTGCCCACACCAGAATAAACCAATACATATATTCAAATAAATACATTCTGGAGGCTGCTAGAGACCTTTACATTAAGGAAAAAGCGCAAGGATGTCTAATGAAAATTCGCAGGGGATTGTTGTCCATTGGAAGGAGTCTCTGTGAACATGGAAGTGGATATAGGCATCAGTCCATATGATCCCTGAATTGTTATAATGACAAAAAATTGAGTCAGTATCATTTGAGAGAAGTCACACATAGAATTAAGTTATGAAGGAGAGAAATTCCCGACAATGGGAATGATATTCCAGTCTCCCATAATGACCCACCATTGTCGTGATGAGATGAAAATCTGGAAAGGAACATCCACATTCCTGCCTACCCCGGTAAGCATTCACTCCTTGTTTAATTAGAATACAAACAATCCTGCCTTTAAAATAGTCAAAGATTCTGGTTCCTCCACCCTTCAGGAGATGACATCCAAAGAGTCCATGACCCTCTGAGAGAAAACATTTTGCCTAATCTCGGTTTTAAATGGGAAACCTTTAATTTTTAAACAGTGGACCCTAGTTCTAGATTCTCCCTTGAGTAGAAACATCCTCTCCACATCCACCATCTCAAGATCCCTCGGGATCTTACTTGTTTCAATCAAATCACCTTTTACTGTTCCGAACTCCGGCAGATACAACCCTAGCCTGTGCAACCTTTCCTCATAACACAACAGTCTCATTCCAGGTATTACCAAACTATACCTTCTCTGAACTGTCTCTAATGCACTCACAACCTCCCTTAAATAAGGTGGTCAATACTGCGTACAGTCCACCAGATGCGGTCTCATCAGTACGTTGTATAACTTGGGATAAATGGAAACATTCTACTAACTGTCCTAATTACTTGTTGTAATTGCATTATAACATTTTGCTATTCATGTACAAGCTCACCCAGATCCCCTCTGCATCTCAGAGCTCTGCACTCTCTCACCATTTAGCTAATGTACTTTCTTTATTCTTCTTTCTAAAATGGACAATTTCATATTTTCCCACATTATACTCCATTTATTAAATCTTTGCTCACTCATTCAACCTGTCTATATACTTCTGCAGCCTCCTTACGTCCTCTTCACAACTCACTTTCCTACCTATGTATGTGTCATCAGAAAATGGTGACCTTCCCATTTCCGTCCTCCATTCAAGTCATTTATATAATTTGTAAACAGTTGAGGTCCCAGCACCAATCCC